GAGAGAGAGAGAGAGAGAGAGAGAGAGAGAGAGAGAGAGAGAGAGAGCGTGCTCTGTTAAGATGCAAATAAAAACTGTGTCCAATAGTATGTTCAACTTTGGTAAGCAATCGGAGATGGCATCGCGTTCGGTGACGATCGGCTGGTATGTTTTTTGCTTCCAGAGTTAGAGTTGTCTCACGCGATAAGACAATCTGGCGCAGTGCAGGAGTTACACGCACCAGGGATTTCCATGGAAATCGATGACACCCTCGACAACGTAACTTCGGACGGGAATCGCCGAATAGGATGCCCGTAACTTATCCAGATAAGGGGTTGTAAAACGATGCTGTAGCTATCTGCCAATACGGTCTGCTCCCTCTGCTCGCGAGAGGGAGGGCCTGCATCCAGGTTGCGGGCAGATATAGGGAGCAATTTCCCAGAAATTGATGCCATTTGAATATCGCCTGCGACACGACACGCGCGTTTCAAGGCGGTGCCGTTCGTAAAGGCGTTTACACGATTGTCGGAGATCTCTATCCGTCCGTGTGCGCGCTTCCTCGACAAATACTGCCGAGACACATCGGTATTATATGTTTCGTGGATCGTATTTCCATTGCGGACTGCGCCCGCGGTACTTCGTGAGGAGATGGAGCGACTAACGTAAACTGGCGTCTGTTTCTCGACATTTGTTTCCTCGCCGATTGCAAGACAACTCAAGGGGATAAGATTAAAGTAGCCAAGTCCTTCTATCGGCGTCAACTATTTCTCTCGATTTCATAAATTATTTAATTAATCAAACATTAATACGTAATTAAGTTTTACGATTACAAATTAAATATTTTGTATTTATAGAGAAACGTTTTTACATATTTACAGATTCGCGAAATATCATAAGAACAAATATCAATAACAATCGATTCTGTAAATCTCTCGTAAATCACTATTTCGCTTGAATGATAATTGCAAGTTTCGTACGTTTCGTCGAACGTATTATCAGATAATTATTCGCCAAAATACTTCCGATTGACTTTAATCAGGGCGCACTTTTACCCCACGCGTGTGATTATACTCAGTGACTTCCGGATACGTGCTGGGGTTACGTCACGTTGGTGTTACCAAAGTCTTGTTTATCAAGTACGTTGCTACAGTCGAAGTATATAGGTACACAGACACACACCCTCGTTGGTACCCGTCAATGGTGCTTCTTAGCTTATGCATAAAGCCCCTTTCGCCCATCACCCTCACGCCCCGCCGGTCCCGGTCTATTCGCATCCACCTCCCGCAACCTCCTCATCTTTCACGATTTCATCCCCGCCGTTTCATCGAGGCTTCAACCCCTTCTTCGACCGTTACCTAGCAGATCGGGGGTGTCTTGCTCGCTCGCTCGCGAGTATTTCCGCAGGATGTATCGCAAAATCTATAGCGGTCTGAGGGGCGGAACGAAGGGGTAGAGGATAGGAGGAGGAATGGGCGACGGTGGCGGAGGCCAGGGTGGTTTTCGAGAAGGGTGAGCCCCGTCACATTTCACTACAGACTAATAACTTCTGAATATTCATTTCGTGTTTCTCCTTGCCTGCTTGCGAACCCGTAAGCAAGGCTAATGCGACGCTCACAACGGAATCCGTATTATTCCTGAAAATATGCCGAGAACGATAATCAAATTCGAGTGATCGCGATCACTTTACTAATCACAAAGTATGAAAATCGTGATAACGTAAGTCAGGAAGTGTGTGATTTAATTAGTCAATTATCCGGACCACTCAAGGAAACAATCGGCTCCGTGTGAGACGAGTTTAAGCAGTATGTACTCTTCTTCGTCGAAGCGAGAAAAACAGAGTAGCTTGGAGGCGAGGGAAAAGCGA